ATTGATTTTGATTTGTTTTAGTTAGGATTTTCCTTTTTCTTAAAAAAAAACTAACTTTTATTTTTCCAAAACAAAAAAAAATTATATAAAAAGTAATTGTTTTTGGTGCATGCAAAACGTGGATTAGGGACAATACACATCAACAAATTCATTTTGAACAAATGGCTAATCCACAAGTTTTTCAAAATTTATGTTATCCCAATAGGATTGAAATTTCCAATGAAGTCCGGGAGTTTGTAGAGAGTCCATATCAGTATTCGGTAAATGATCCATTTTTTCCAACCTACAACCCAGGTTGGGCAAGTTACACAAACATTGCATGGAATCAGGGAAACCACTCCGAAACTCAAAACTTCACTCCCTCTTCGACCCAACATTTTCCTAGGGAAAATACAGTTCCTTTTAATTCTCATCCACAATTTCAACAACCCAGTCTGTCACATCAAAATCAGTCTCCTCATCATCAAGTTGTAACTCACACTCCTCTTGATACAGATCATGATGAACGTCTCAATATTTTGGAAAAATGTTTTGAAATCATAATTAAGGCCTCCACACTAGCCATGGATATGTTAACTCAAACATCCTACACGATGAACTCCTTTATGCAATCAACCGAACTCATACTTAACTCTAACACTCAAGCCCTAGCTAGATTAGAAACCCATATTGATCAACTAGCTAGTGCCATAAGTGAAGAAGAGGAAGAAGAAATTTTGAGTCAACCCGTGGTCAATCCTAAGGACACTCAAATGAATGCACTACAGTCAGGAAAACAGGTCGATAATCAGGAAAGAACACCTTTAAGCCAAATTCTTGTTCCAATTCATTCTTCCCCTGATAATTCAATTCAAGAAAGACCGGGGGAAGAAGAAGAAGAGTCAGATCTAAGTTTTGAGGAAATTTTCGGTGAGGAGCTAAAAATATTAGGAGAAGCAGATCGGGTTTGTCAAAATAAAGAAACTGTGTTGGACAATTGCTGCTTTGAACTGAATTTTGAAAAACTCTTTCTTGATGAACTAAGATTTTTGGAAAATAAACAACAACCAAATTTTTACACATCAACCATGAATCTTGGGGTTGAGAAAATTGTTAAAGAAAAATTGGTTGTTAGAGAACGCACATTCACAAATCAAGAATCTAAGTCAAATATGCATGACACCAATGATACTTACCTTCCATTGCCACAAAAATCATTGAACACCCCGGAATGCTTAGAATTTCAGCACATTGTTGATTATATCATGTTGAATTTATTTAAAATCCGTGGGAGAATTTTCAGCAATAAGGTAGGATTCAATGTAGAATACGAGCTCTTCGTGTTGAACACTTCATTCTACATTAATTATTATGTTTACTTCAGAATAATTAAAAGAATTTATTCTTCTCTCATTTAAGAGTTTCTTGTTCAGTTGTTAAAAAAAAGAAAAAAAAGAAGAAAAAAATGAAAAAAATGAAAAAAAAAAAGAAAAAAAAAGAGAGAAAAAAAAAGAAAGAAAGAAAAAGAATAAAATTTTGATTTCATCCTCCTCAGACCAAAGGTAATTGCAGATTTTTATCAGCCGACCAAATATAAGTGCTTCACTTCTTATCTGCTTTACTTTATGCATCATACAGTTTGTATTGAGGACAATGCAAAAATTTAGGTGTGGGGGTAGGAATTAGTTATTTTTTCTCTTTATTTAGGAATTGGGTGAGATTAGTTATTTTTTCTCTTTATTTTACATTTTTAGTTACATTTTTTCCCCTTTTTCTTAAAAAAATTTAAAAATATCGTCACTTGCCAAATTGATAGAGTTATGTAATAATTGATTTATTTGATAAATTTGAAATTTTCTAATCCTTAGTTGGTTATTTACTTAAGTTCATCTTTTATGATAACTCTAAATAAATTTCTTAAGAAATGATTTTCAAAGTAGTATACTTTACTTAAGCCTTAACTTGGATTTTTATTTAAAATAATGAAATTTTTGCATGCTTAACTTAGAGTTGAAAATAATTCTTTCAAAGTGTCTTGATTTACATATTTTCAAAATATATATACATATACAAAAAAAAAAATTTGCAAAAGAAGAGTGCGAAAAATGGGCACCAAAAAAATATTAATACTCTTGAATTCTAGGTAATTCTATCTTATAAAGCCTAAGCTGACCGAGTAATTAAGCCCAAGGAGTATTTCCATACTTAATGACCTAAGCCCAATTGGGTTGGGATCCATTGGCCCAAAACTCGTTAAAAGGTCAATTAGAAAGCCCGTTAAAGTAGAAGAAAAAATCACCAAGGATGAAAGAATTAAAAAGAAATTTTTTGTTGTATATATGGTCTTGGAAAATATTTTAAATCAAGCAACTTGAAAATTATTTAAAACAAAGAGTTAGCATGTTCCTTTTCAAAACTTTTAAATTAAATTTCTAAGTTTGGTTTGGTTTTGTATTGCTACAATGAGAATATTTTTCTTGAAAATATACCTTAGAGTTATATATAAAAATGTTTTCTTGAGTGATAACTGGCTCCAATT